TGCAGCTCCCTGCCACGGCTGCCTGTGCTTGCTCTGCCGGGCCAGCGAGAGCCTCGGGCCCCTCCTCCGGGAAGCAATAACACTGGGCAGGCAGGAAAATCCTCCTCGCAGGCTCCCGCCGTGCAGCTACGCCCACTGCTAGCACAAGGTGACTTTTTTTTTTCTTCCAAGCAGCGGCTTTTATGGCACATGCTCACCTGACATCAGGGCTGTGGCACCCCCGTCAAGGCACAAGAGGAATTCTGGTCCTTGCTCCTTCCTTGTTGGCACCACCACTGCCAGCAGCCCCTCAGCAGCAGGAGCCGGGCGGGGGCAGTCTGGGCCGCTGGCACTTTGCTGGGATCCTGCAGGCCGTGGCACAGCCAGGCTCCGAGGCGAGGGAGGCGAGGAGCAGGCTGCCACTGCTGCCCCACAGGCAGGCTCACACTGTCCTCGCTGTGAGGGGAGGGTGTTTTGGTGCAATAATTACCCCTGCACTACGGGAAGCCCCCGTTCAGTTCCTTTTTACCTACCTGTTGTTGCATGTACAGACCAAATCACCAAGTGTGGTTGTGCTTTGGGAAGACATTTCACTTTTTTCTTTCCAACCTCCCAACCTCCGCCCGCTTGTCCTTTGGGTTCCACCACCTCTGTTCCAAGTGCCACCTGCCCTCCCCGCGCCGGGAGCGTGTCGATGCAGTATTCCACGAGCAGTGTGGGGCACGCACAGCTTGCACTCGAACTGGGGATTGGTTTTTTTTGTAATTAATGTACTTGAAGGCTTTCCGAGCCCCCCGTGGAGTTGTACTGTTGCTGTACTGTGAGCTAAGTGTCCTTGTTTTCTATGTGGATCTTGACCCTGGCTTGCTCTGTCTCACTGGGCTGGATGACACTGTATGTTGCCTCTTTTCTCCTTCCCCCTTTTCCCTCCCTGCTAGCCTCCCTTTCTTCTCCCAAAGCTTTGGGTGCAAAACAGCTTCCCATTTTGTGGAATTTTTATGTAGAATAAACATTTGTAACTGTAAAGCTCTGGCTGGCACCTCTCTGTTTCAGGGGAAGGGAAGAGGTGACAGGGTACAGGCAGCCCCAGTACTCTGGGAGCATCAAAGCAAACAGGATGCCAAGCACCCTCGAGAGCAATGCCCCCAGGAATAACACTTCTGCCAGGAGGAAGCTTTGCCTTCATGGGATCCACAGCTTTACAGTACCTGACTCCCTACCTGCAGACAGAGAGGAAGGTGGCAGGGAACTAGGTGCCATATTCCCAGTACTCCCCAGCACGGAAGCAGGACACAGGAGACCAGCAAACACCTCCAACTCATTGACTCTTTAGTGAGGAGGCTGGATATCATGTCCTGGCTGACCTGGAGCTCAGCTGGCTTGCTGCACTCAGGAAGGTAAGTGACAGCACTGCAGACACCAAGTGGCCAGAGCACTGTCTGCCACTCCCACCTTCAGCAGGCAAGAAGGGCTGGAACCTTTGCAGTTGGCTGTTGGGCAGCACCTGAGCCAGTTTACACCATCAAGAGCCACAATGATCTGTCCCAGCAAGTCCCAGGCCTGGGGTGCCCACCTGTGCCATCCACAGGAGGCTTGCTGGAGGCACCCACATGCCACCTTCCAGAGCAGCAGCGTCCAGAGCAATTCAGAAGCGAGGGCGGCGCTTCCGACCCGTGTATTTCGTGTCTGCTCGCACCTCCCTGTGGGGAAAAGCAGGGAGCAGCTCAGCACCACCCACAGGTCACCTGGGGGGGGAAGGGAGAGGGGTTGGGGCAGGAGTTTGGACAGGTGACAGCAGGCCAGACCAGCCTCAGCTGAACTCACTTGCCCTGTCGTCGTCTACGCTCCTTCTTCTCCAGGATCCAGTCCCGGCTTTTCTTCACAGACTTGCCCTTGATGTTTTTGAACCGTGTCCTATGGAGAAAGCAGACAGCAGCTGGAGAGGAACTGAGCTGTGGGGGCACAGTTCTCTGCCCCAGAGGACTGTCACCCAGAACTGGGTCACAAAAGCAGCGAGTTCCCCTCCCACCAGCCTTGGATGAGAAGCTCAGACAGCTGTGGGGCAGATGCCAAATGGTCCAGCTCCAGAAAGCTGGGGAAGAAGGTTGCTTCCAGCCCAGGCTCTGAGCTGAGGGATATTGACCCTTTACAGACTGCAGCAGGCCCCCTGTGCCATACCTGACACACCAGCAGCACGCTGGGCTCTGGGATCTTGGGGGATTACGGACTCAAGCGCAACCACCTTCCCCTTGCCTGCCCTACTCCAAACAAGAAGGCAAAGTCTCTGGCTTCCCAAAAATTTCCCAGTTCTGCTACTGCCCTCCAAGACGAGGTACCCCTCGGACTAAGTGAGCAGAGAACAGCAGTGTAAGAGGTAGGAAAACATGGTAGCCACAAGCTCCTGGCAACCACGACGACTTTCCTCTGGTTTTTATTCTCTGTCTCTCCCACTGGCTGCAAGAGGGGCTCCTCCCTGCACCACTGCCATGGGAGGAGACCTGGACAGCAGGAGAAACCCCTCAGGCCACAGCTAAGCAGAGCCAAGCAAAGAACTGGACAGCAGGAAAAAGGGAACACCAGGATTCAGGCAAGGCAGCCTGCCTCCATGCTTGGCATTACCATCCCTGTAAATATTCCCACTTCCACACCACTGGTCCCAGCTGGAGAGCCCAGTGCTGGACAGAAAGCACCAACAGCCCCATGGCAGAGCCCTCCAAACTAACCAGTTCTGCTCCCTGTGTCTGGGCCCTTGGGGAAGATAAAGCAGTGCCCACCTGGGCTGCCAAAGGTTCTCCCAGTCCCTCCCCTCCCGTTATGTCTCACATGGCAGCACTATGGTCCCCAGTAAAACCCAGCTTTTCCCACTCCTTGCTGAGGAAAACCTGCAGCTTCACCCCCACACAATACCTCTCATTGGTGAACTTTGCCTGGTGCAGCTCTTCATCAGCACCCTCTGTACCAAGGCCCTGGAAAGCAAAACTGGGAAGTTGTGCTCTCCTCTGGAGCAGACACAGCTGACAGCCATACCATCGGAATTAAGGGGAACACAGGGATTTGCAAGGGGAAGGAGTGGAGCAGGAACAAACTGGTCTTCCAGAAATTGTACCAAAGAAAGCACAAGTCAGGGGAATAGTTTTAAGCTGAAAGAGGGCAGGGCTAGATTGGATACT